CCTCCGAGACCTCAGTTCTGTTCCATTGGTCTCTATCTCTGTTTTGGCACCATGCTGTTTTGATTACTGTAGCCTTGTAATATAGTTTGAAGTCCGGTAGTGTGATGCCTCCCGCTTTGTTCTTTTTGCTTAGAATTGACTTGGCTATGCGGGCTCTCTTTTGGTTCCATATGAAGTTTAAGGTGATTTTTTCCAGTTCTGCAAAGAAGATCGTTGGTAGCTTGATGGGGATAGCATTGAATCTGTAAATTACTTTGGGCAGTATGGCCATTTTCACAATATTGATCCTTGGTGCCTAGCAGATAGCACTTACCCATTAAATGTTACTTGTTAATTTATAAAAATGTTAGTGTTTGGGGTTTATGATAATAACTAGCTTATCGAAAGTATGACTCAGCAAATCAACTTTGGGTTTGTTGACATTATGTAGCACAGTTGCTATACTTTATTTCTTTGCAACAGTGAGTTATGGGCTTATCAGGTAATTTAAATTTTGATCTTGGCAATATTTAGCTATCAATATGAATTAAAATGTACACTGAAAAAAAAAGTGCACTTTCTTTGCTAAATTCTTTGGCCAGGTTTTATGTCTTTAAAAGACAAATTAAGTCCCAAAAGGCATGATGTATTTTAAATCTTAAAGAAAATATGTGTTTTATCTTAGAAAAAATTCCAAAGGAATAAAAATTATCATTCATCATTGGTTTCTTTCCTGCATTACATCTCCAAAGATCTGAAGAAATTAGAAAATAGTTAATGCTATTTCAGAGAAGAAAGAAAAAGATACCTTTGTGTTAATAGCTCAACATCAGTTTCTTTTATTAGAGCCTTACTTTTTCTGATATTATGGATTGCATTGTTTGCCTATGTTAAGTCTGAACCAATTTTTATCTAAATTATGTAATCTGCATAGAATTATTTTTAATTTTATATTTAAGGTAATATGATCAGGATTATTAAATTTATATTACTTTTAATAATACTTTTTTTCAAATTTTTATTTTTGAATTTATTTGCTGGGAGCAGGGCAGAGGGTTATCATTATATATGACTTTGACTTACCTGTCTGTTGTCCTATTGCATGATGATTCATTTACTGAGAGAGCTTAGATGTGTGTGTCCTACTTCAAGAAAGCCCAATTTTGTTCATTTACTATAAAACATACACCCTGGCCTGGCGCGGTGGCTCATGCCTGTAATCCCAGTACTTTGGGAGGCCGAGGCGGGTGGATCACGAGGTCAAGAGATCGAGACCATCCTGGTCAACATGGTGAAACCCCGTCTCTACTAAAAATACAAAAAATCAGCTGGGCATGGTGGCGCATG